ACTCAAAAAAAAAAAAAGACAGTAATAATGGCCTATTCACATAATCCTTGGGATCATACTGCCCATGATGTGCCAGTTCTTGTTCTTACACATTCTGAGTTGAGGAAAAAGTGAAACATACTATTCTGACAGCAGCATGTCTAGGATAAAGCTAGGAAGTCAGTATGCCTCCTGTCTTGCTCCAGACCTCACATCACCATGAAATACTGTCCTTGTAGAATCCTCAGAAAATAGTTTTAAGTTTTAGTGGTTACCCTTCATATATTCCTTTGGAGAAAGAACCAGAGACATCCATTCTACTATATCTAAGTAAAAGGCACTTCTAAAGGCTTCAGACTATGTCTGAAGAAAAAAACAAACAAAAAACACACACACATTACTATGCTTCAGGCTTGATATGGAGATGTCATTTTCTGATTCCAATCCTCGGATGAAGATAGAAAGACAAACAAATAGTAGTACAGTTGAAAACATATACTGAAGAAAAACAAAAGGAAATAAGAAAAAAGTCCTCGCTTTAAAAGAGCAACAAATTATCCTCAAATTTAAGATGAATAGCTAAAGGAAAAACTTTAAAAAACGCTTGTAATTTAAAGAGGAGAAAAAAAAAAAGAAAAGAAAAAAACAACCTGACATCTAGGGAAACAAGGAGAAAGACTGAGCACCACCATTTAGAAAAGAGATTCGTGGAAAGATGTTACTGAGGTGGCGATGAAAGGACGTTAGAAGAAGTAAGAATAAGCACAACCTGCAGGACTCTGAAGCTTTCTGACAGCAGAAGGAATTGCCCATCACTAGCATGATGAGGATTTCAAGCTAACATATTTCTTTTATCTTAAATGTTTGTCAAATGTCATCTATGTGACATTTAGAGACCTTGTTAGCTTGCAAGGGGCATCTCAAAAGCCCATTTGTGACAAGGTTTGAAACCTATATGGCCTAAATGCAAGCATCATATTAACAGCGCTACTAGTAAACTCAGATTAACAACATCTATAGCTCTTCATCTTGGGGTTGAGGCTGGTCTGACTTAATTAAGCTGATGGCTACAGACAAACAACAAAAAACAAAACAGCAAAGCAGACACTTCACACAGGCATTAATCCTCCTGTTTGTCACACAGCCCACAAATTTTCCCAGTCATCATGATAAGAGATTTTGTACAATCTTCATGACTATCAAGACAAACCTTGACAACGTGGTTCAAAATAACTGTGAATGATGCAGATTTGACACAGAAAGCTTAAAGTTATATTCCTAAAACTACTAACTATTAAATATTAACATAGATAATTTAGAAGTACATCCCTGGTCAAAGAGCATAAAAAAGAGCTCTTTTTATGCTTGAGTCAGAGAGTAAAAAATCCATCTATTCTGAAAAAAAGTGTGGCAGAAAGTTTTCTTCTTCTTATCTTTTCATTCAAGACATAAGTACACAATAGATGACATCTAAGCTCTACTGAAGATCCCCTCAGGAAGGGGGAATTCAACATCTACTAACTAAAATTCAAGCTCAAGTAGCCCAAAATAAGTTCAAAATACATAGTATACTTTCAGACTATAAAAAGTCACCTTTGGAGGGACAACCTGTTATCACTAGCACTTTGAACAGTTTTCCTTCAGAAATGCAGGGAATAAACATAAAAACAAATACAAAACACCCTCAAACAACACACAAAAAACAACCAATAGACCTAAATAGTTAAAAAAGTATCACAATGAATCTTTTCAATTCAATTAAACATAAATATGTATAAAGCAAACTCTGAATAAGCCAGCAAAATTTAAGCAATTGTTGCTTAAATATGAAATTTTAGAAGACAGTTCTATATTCATTTACACAGGAGAACAACCTTCCAGTATGGTCTTTGAAATTTAACTTTCATTGTTTTTAGCTGAACTTTTAAAAATACATTTTCACAAGGTTTAATTGTTGAGTATTTTATGTATAGTGTTTGGTTGTACATGACATAATGCATCTCAATTAAGATATGTGCAAAGACTGTGCAGTTTGCATTTTCCCCACATGATGGGGGTATCAGTCTATCACAGTTTTTGTGGAAAAGATGGGAGTAAATTTTGTAATCAACAGGAACTCTACTGGTTATTTCCAGCAGTTAAGACTTAAATTCAGCTAGTCAAGAAATAGAAAAGATTTTCTAGCACAAGAAGTCTTACTGTGTAAGTCATGAGTACACCGGCCTGTTTATAATCTTCTCATACATGTTTTATGGGAATGTTTTCAGAGAAGTTCCCAAACTGCCTACACTACTCATTATTTGTACCTGTTTCCACCTGCCTAGCTGCAATATAGTATTGATGCCAAAACAACACTTGAACAAGAAGTACCCAGCAGCGAGCTCTCCTGTGTAAGTAACAGGTGGATGACATTAAAAAACAAATATACACAGCACTTATTCTTAAAAGGAAATCACCAGCAGCAAGGTGGATTTCAGCCAAACTGTTATGCTGTTACTGTATCAATGGCATTAAGAAAGCTCATTTACAATCCTGATCTCCTGGTAGCTGGTTCTTCTGAAATCAGTCTTTTCAACCGTTACTGGAAAGTTTCAGGTATCCAGTACTGAGGGCAACTAAATCCCCAAAGATGCAATACCCAAAAGGTCCTTTCCTAGGAAAGGAAAAACTGACAGGATACAACTCTGTTTCTTTTCTCAAGTCTGAGGAATATTGATATCATAGGCTCCTCCCAGCTCCACTCTGCATGGAAAACGAGACACCTTGCCCTCTTCAACCCACCCTTCATCTCTGTCCTGCTCTGCTCTTCCTACATCTGAACAATACAGCTGCTGAGAGGAATAATAAAAGGCCTATTCTGGGAACCAATGGGGGTGCAGCGGGACCCTTCCGAAAGGCTCACATTTTTGAGGAATGACAGAACGAACCTTATGCAAACCAAACAGACACTCTGAGTGGTTAAAGTCCCAGTGTGCTGTATATCATGGAAAGCTAATCAGGAGGGAGAAAGCGAAGCAAGGAAATAGGTCAATTCCAAACGAGTGTAAGATGACGCACAAAAAACATAATGGAGAAAGCACCTGTGAAACCTACCGTTAAGTTTTTCAAAAAAGATAAATGTCTAAAGGCAAAGATATAACAGCAGGATCCACCATAGAGGTTCACAATTTAAGAAGGGAGAAAACACAACAAGAAACAAACAACAAAACACACCCCACACACATTCCCCAGAACAGATTCAGTACTTCTAGGGTAGCACTAGAATGCATTTTGATTCTGCTGTACTGACATTTTAAGTATACAGGTAAATTTCTTCTAGCAGATTTTGAAATACAGAGAGAAAGACTGTTTCCTAAATGTGACACCATCTAAGATGTGACACCTTCTTAATCTAAACTCTGATTCAGTAGAAATCTATTAAACTGGAAAAAGGAGATCACAAGAAGTGAAATCAAACAGAATAAAAATCAGACACTAGTTACCACCTAGAAACAGGTAGGCCTAATGTTCCCAGGAAGACAACAGACAGTTACTTAAAGACTAAACAAAGACAGATCAGTGCAGAAGAAAGAAGAGTAATATGATGACCCTACTCAACTCACTGACTTAACTTTAAAAAAACACATACAGATATAAATGCTTATATATAAATGTATACACTTTAAAAAAGCAGTAAGTACACAATTAATTTTGACTCTGCATTTAACAATAGCACAACATAAAGAAGTATGTTCATAAGGATTATTTTGCATGGACATAAAGGACAAGAGTTACATAAATGCACTAAAATAAGGCAATACCACTCTCAAAGCTGCATACCATCCTGGACGCATTCAAGAATATTTATGATCAAGACAGGTTTCTTAATACAGAAATAAAACAACTAATTTGAAATATCCAGTGGTGCCTCTGCTTCTGCATTCACCTAAGATTTTTTTTTTTAAGAAATGTAGGAGCATAAATTAAAGAACAAGAAATTAAGGAACATTTAGATGAGGCAAACATATTCAAGCCTTCACAGAACACTTATGAATCCTAATGTTTCGGGATCATGCTTTCTTGTTCCCAGGGTAACTGCATAAGGCGAGTAAGGCACCACAGAGAACAGCCACAGAAAGGATACAGAACTATCTGAAAGCATCACACCCCTGAAACACTTATGAACACCCTACTAGCAGCTGAAGAGCTATTTCAGAAAGTCTATCTCATTTTTTAAGCATTCAGATTACAGAAGAAAGAATACTTTGCTATAACAGGCATAGGACACTGAAGAGCAAAATCAAGATTTGGCCCATCAAATATGTACCTCTGTCATTTCTTTTAGTATAAAAATAAAGCAATTTAGCTCTACTGATGACAGCTGGGGTCCAACTATTTAAAGCACCACAATAAGATTCACTGTATGCAATCTGTTATTACATTTCATGTATTCATAAAAAGATGTATATTTTTCCTATGATTTAAAAGATTTATATTTTTTCTATGTTTGGGTTATAGCACTCAAATTTCTTTAATAATAAGACTGCCTATTTAAAAGAACAGCAAAGGACATACCTTTGTTGAAGAAGGAGGAGTAGGAAAATTAAGCCAGGCTGGAGCAAAGTCATGCTGCGCCATTTAGGTCCAGTCTCTCCAAATCAGTGAAACAAGGCTTTAGCACCTCATGGCAAGTCCCTGCAATTGGAAAAAAAATAAAAATATATATAAAAAAGAAGTTAGACATATCAGACATTTATCTTACAAGATTACAACACACATGGTGTTTGAATCATCATTCTGTTTTCTAGCACTACTTGCCAAACAAATCTACTTTTGAATCTAGCAGTCTCACCTGTCATTATAGGTGTACACTTGCTCTTTCAAAAACAATGGATCACACTAATTAAATATTTTACCGGCACTGAAAACAGAATCATACCATTCATCTAATTTATAAAAGGAAAAAGAAAAAAAGGCACAGCATCTGTGCCTTTGCCAAACAGAAAGTTTTGGCAAAATTAGCTTGTGAAATATTTTCTGGTCCAGGCTGCTTTCCCCACTACAGTGTGTATACCAAAACAATTTTGGTTTGTAGAACACGTCTTTCAAAAACATGAACAATACGTTCAATTAAAACTTCACCTTAACTATATTACTTGACTATATTAATAGAATGAGGGCTAATAGCACCCATATGAGCATCTACAAAATCTAATTTTACTCACAGCCTATGAAGAACTCAATATCTGTGAGCTAGTCTTCTCTTACACACACACTAGATAACAGATCAGCTATATATAAGCAAATGTTAAAGGATAATGAACAGCAGTTTCCAAAAGATGTACAGGAAAGAGATTTGTTATAAAGGCATCTCTGTAACACAACTTGGAGCCACAGCAATAACTGAAATAAAAATACTGCACCAAGTATGCTGAGCGAACATCTAAAAAGAGTTTTCTTTTTATGGTTTGATTGGTAGGGTTCTTTTATAAGTTTCACTTATTGCCTCATCTGAAAAGAATTTGGGAAAATGCAGTGCTTTTCATTTGCTTAAAACAGAGGCAGAACTTGAGAAAAGTCTAGTAGAGAACAATTACATGAACTGGAAATCAAGACTTTTGTGAAAAAGCTAAATAAAAACACCTAGAGCCAACTCAACAATAACAAAGGTTGATCTAGGGAAACAACTCCTGTCATTAGTCTGTGCTCATCCTATTAAAGAAAGAAATCAAACCAAAAACCTGACACAATATAGCTAGCTTTCCATAAAGTACGTGTGGATGGGTGTTGATGTGAGAAAGCAACACAGAACATGATTGTATTTAGAGTAACAATTCTAAAATTCAGACCTTTACTGAATACAGTAAGGAATTGTTTTAGTGATCAAGGACAAGAATGGAACTTGGCTTGCTTTATCTCACTAGAAGAGGGCCGAAGAGGTATTTAAACAACTGTTACGAATATCTGACAAATTCCACTGAGAAATGAGATGTCTGTTAATCCAAAATATCCTAAGAATCCAAGATGATAATGGTCACAAAAGATTGAGGCTAGAAATGTAGCAGTTTTAAATATGTGAAGAACAAGATTCTCCAACACTAACACAAATGTTTGAATCTTTTCCAATTGTTATTATGCTTCAAGGTCAGAAACTGATAATTGTAATTAAACGACTTATATTACAATGCATGTACACAAAGATAATATTGTAAAAATGAATCCACCTTTCCCGATCTCACGGTGTAGCTTGACAAGAATGAAGTTCATACAGTTTTTATCTCCCTCTCTCCCCGCTGAACTATGCTCCTTTAAGTCAACATAACATTTAAAAATCAAATATTTTTAACATGAAGAACACACATCAAACAATATATAAATTGACTTTTTTTTCTCCTGCCATCAAGCAGATAAAATCCAGTGTGGTACAAAAAGGCAAAGAAAACAGCCTGCATCGATGAGGCTGTGCAGACATATTTACAACAAATTGCTTCTTCAGGCCTCATCTCGTATTACAATTTTTACTATCCACTAATACTTGGAAAATTATGTAACAGCTGAAATGACTAACATTTAAGTTTTGCTTACAAAGCTCAGTTGGAAGCCAAGAGCCTCCACGTGGTTAACACAAAGCAGGCATAAAGAACAGATAAAGGAGAGCCTGTTGAACGAACTACCTGAAAGTGTTATGTAATACATTTTAGCTGTAACAAATACAGGTACTCACATTGTAGTAAAACATGCAGTTTCTTGCAGCAAAAGTAAAACTTTTTCCTCTCATGTTCACAAGAAAAAGAAAATTCTAAACTGGAGACATAAATATGCCCAGTTACAGATCACCCCTTCCCTCCTGAAGGATTTCACTAAATAGGCAGACCAGGAATACAGAGCAGAAGCTTCTAACCACTCACAAAACCAAAGAGCATTGCTGGCAAAGCAGAGACTAGAATCCAAGCAAACATCTGTTAATCCTGCTCATATCTCTGCATAGCACATTAAAAATCAGAATACAATGCAGACACATACCAGACTCATTTACAGACATGGTAACTGGGGAGTTACTATAGGCATCAGGAGTATGTATTAACACACTTACTGATAAACCAAGAAGCAGTTATATTAGTAAAAGCCATGCAGCAAAAGTATAAGGCAGACTTATATCTAGACAGGTCTGTTCCATCCCAGATATCTTTAAGAAACTAGAAATAATCAGAAAAGACAAAGCCTTAAAGCAAAAAAGGAAACAAAAAAAAACAAAATCAAGTACTGGAACCATTATGATCAAAACAGACTTCCTTCACATACTAGAAATTCATATAATGCGTCCTGTGCTGCACCTTCCAGCATAGCCAAGCAACAGTAATTTCCCTTAAAAAGATCTCCAAACCACTTTTAAATATTGATGAGAAAATAAAGGTTACAGATACCTTGAACTGGTTAGGCAAAGATAAATTTAATTTATCACTGTTACCCTAGTACTCTTTCTAGCATCAGAAATCTTTTCTCTCAATTTGCAGGCTTACAGAAGACCAGTATTCTTGGAGCTGAATAACACTCATCAGGAGTTGGAAAAGTGACTCAAAAATCCCGTTCAATGATATCTGCACTGCTGCCTACATGGACTATATATGAGCAAGCTGTGGATGGGAAAGTCCACATGGAAAGAGGAATGAGAATGGGGAAAGAAGTGATATTCCACGATACCACGGGGCAGGGAATGGACAAAGTAGCTGCAAATCAAACATTCTGAATTTTAGTTCTGTTTTGTTTTCTATAAAGAGGCCAAATAAATAAGTGTACCTGATTATTCAATAACAGAATGTTGAAACGGCTGTGGCATATAGTGTAATGTCTGTGGCATATAGTGTAATGTATTGACATTGTACTGACATTCAACTGTTTTGAGTTGTTGATGCTTTCATTTTGTTTTTAATGGTTTAAGAAGCTCTAAAAATGCAATACTAGATGCATTTTCTTTTTACGTTTAACAATAAACACAATCACAATTTTGTGCCACACGAGAATCACTACAGCATGGTAGAGTTATGCTACCCTTTATTTTCTAGCAAATATTAGTAGGGATGTCTCAACTGAAAACATCTCTCTGCAGTCTATAAAGGACAGGGCGGTGAACATTAAGTGTCTCCCTGTAAAGAAACATTGCTACCTTACAACATCACTCTGATATTGTCTACTATTGTGTCAATAGTTCTGACTGCTCCAGATGGCATGCTTCTGACGGCATTAACAGAGACAGTTCTCCCTGATGGTTTTCATCTTCACAAAACTGTAAATAGGAAAGCATCTCTGTAGGTCCCTTCCAGCCTTAACAATTCTATGATTCTACGTTTAATCGCTTTTGAAAAAATAACAGAGGTTGCATAGAGAGCTTGTGAAGTCTATTTCTCTGGCCATACTTGAAATCCACCTGGACAAAATCCTGTGCTACCTGCTCTAGGTGATGCTGACTGAGCGGGAAGGGTTGGACTAGATCATCTCTAAAGGTCCCTGACAACCTCAGCCATCCTGTGAAGATATAACACTTAGAGATGTTCTGAAAAACTAACTCGTGCTTACTTACAATACCAAGTAACTTAATCATAAAATGTTCTTTAGTAGTTCACCTCTTGCTCTACTACCTTAAAAATAGGTGTTTCAGTTTTAAGCATTGAATTCCTTAGGGTAAGACAGCATACCTACCTGCAGGCAGTTATAATCAAATGTACAATATTTATTCTCTACCTCTCTCTAGATATATATAAATCTCCTATATAGTACTCACATAGATAGCACTGAAATTACTGCATAATAATTGGCAGTTCCTACGCTCAAAATTTTCCCATCAACACAAATCTTACATAAACAACTACACTGTTGTAATTGCATTTATAACATAGAACAAGAGTGTTCTGAACCATGAGAGAAAGGTTGGATTCTTCCCTTCATGTAACTTGTCACATCTGATTGGGGCCCCAAAAAATGTTCTCTAGATTCCATCTCCAACATTTCAGCCACTTAAAAACAGTTACAAAGGATTTAAAGACAATTGGTTTTCCGGTAATTCCTTCAAAGAGCACAGATCTCCTATGAATACTATTTCCTAAGGAATACTGTCTTCTGCTGTCATAAGAACTTGAAGAAACATCTCTACATTTTTCTTACAGTTATTTGAAAACGAGGATTAAATAAAATGCACACAACACAAAACAGAAGAAAGCATATCAGAATATTTAAGATGACAAGGACACGAGATCAGAGACCATTCCTGCCCAATTTTAAGAGCATGTTGTTCAACTTGTTGAACCAGTATTTAGCTGGCAGAGGAACGACAGCCCCAGTACTATTCTCAAAACATCCAGCCCCTGTTCTTACTGTGAGGTAGGTCAAGTCTCTTAAACATACAAAATAAAAATATTGCCCTAGCTCAGGAAATTGTCTTAATTAGGATAGTACTTGTTATTGTTGGTGAAATACACTCAGATATCATCTGTCTGAACTATGACAATAAAAAAAGTTTTGACTTTCTCATGGTGTCGCTCGGAGGAAGACACAGGTAAAATTGGTGACATTACTGATGAAAGGAAAAAGCTAAACGGTGTAATAAGAAAACTGCAAAAACATCAAAAATCTAAGTATAATTTGCTAAAAGATCATACGCTTTTGCCTATGTCATGAAATTATTTAATTCCACTTAAATG